ACATACAATTTAAAACTGTGATCCTACACACACACACACACACACACACACACACACACACACGCCACACACTGAAACAAAAGTTTTAAGAAACAAAGCTTAACTTACTACACAGTGTATTCAGTGGCTCAAGTATTTTCTAGTCTTTTTATTACATTCTATTCTATTTTTTAAGAAAAAATAAGGTAGGAAAAGTTTGCCTATGACTCAGTAACTTGATTTCATGACACCTGGGGAAGGTCCTCCTGCTGTATATTGCACCAGTGCACAGCACGGAGGCGCTTTGGATTCCTGTGTACACCTTGAGAGAGATAGGCTACTTGCATGGAGAATGAGAGCAGAGAGGAGGGAGCTGAGATTCAATGTTAGTAATCTCTGCAGAAAGGAAAGGGTGATCGGGCAGAGTGGGGTGAAGCCTGAGGTAGGCAGGTGTAGATGGAATACCTCAAGGCAATGGCCCAAAAGACATTTCATTTTTATGCCTTCCTGTCTTTCTTTTGCACCAAGAATTTCACCAATGGGGTGGGGCCCATGTGATTCTGTTGGGAAGGCTGGTCAGATTTTTGTCTCCTTCCAGTATGGCTGACCTGTCTCTGGGGAGAATCACTGGAGGAAATGCAGCTTTTCTTTCCTACTGCTCAGTCAAGGCACATCAGCATCACATCAGTTGCAAACAGCAATTGAGGATTTGCACTATGGGCCACATTCCCAGGGTAATTGGCCTCAGGGCTCCCTGGGGTCAGAAAAGGCCTTCAGCAGGCTCTGGGCTAGGGTCGAGGTGGAGTTGCATCCTCACAGAGGTACTACCTGGCTCTTGGCAGGTGAGATCTAGAGTAGGGTTCTTAATCTTTTCAGATGACAGATCTCTTTGAAATCTGATTAATACTGTGAACCTTTTTCTTATAAAAAACACACACACAAATGCACATGTGTAAGAAAATTGCATCAAATTTCTTAGGTTTCAGAGATGCTAAAGTCAGTGTCTTATTCAAAGCCTTAAATGGGGTGTTGATCCAGAGGATCCCAAAGGGTGAAATTCAAAGAAGATGGTACCAGAACATAAATTCACAAGGAAACATTCTTCCTTGCAACTCACTTTTATCTAGATTACCTAATGAATCTCATTATTAGTTTGCTTTTGACATCACAAATTTAGCCTTCTTCATTTCCGTATCCTTTCTTAAATATCTTGCAAACTTTCTTCTTATCTTATGCTGTTTATAATTTATGCTGCCACCTGATTTTATAAAGGAAGAGCTCAGTCATGTCAGAGCCCTTCTCTCATTCACATTATAGGAAGGGCTACTTACAGGGAAGCTGGGTCTTGCTGCTTCCTAGACCAAAATGCTCTGGCTTTTTTCTTATCTTTTGCTATAGCCACACTTGTTCTAGATCTGTACCCATATCTGTATAATAGGGATAAGAATACCTTCCCATAAAGTTATTGTATTGATTAAAAGAGATAACTTATATAATGTGTTTTGCACAATGTTAAACACAAATCAAGTGTTCAATAAGTGCTTGTTATTATTGTTATCATTATTATTGGCTACTGTCTTCATTTTGAGATTCTATCCATGAACTGTATTATTTCATCTGCATCCAGTGTCAGGATATAGCACTCATTGATATTTCTAGTGCATATTTCTAGAGCATAACCATTGATGTTGCATTTTCACAGAACCTATTTATATATTTTTAAAATTATTATTTAAGACCTTATTAATAGGTGCTTGCAGTTCATTTACTTTTTTTGAAAACATTAAGTTGTAAACTTTCATTACAAATTAAAAATGAAGTTCTTAAAAATCTCTGCTTGACCAGATATGAAGCAAATTAAAAACCTTTAAAGTTGTATTGGGAAAAACCAAGCTTTAAACACACACACACACACACACACACACACACACACACACACACACACATTTATCATTACCAAAAAGAGACATCTTTAGGTAAAAATAATAAAAGCCCCATGCTGCATAGATAATGCATATTTCTAATTATCTGGTCAACAAGCAAAAAACAAGCACTTAAGGTCCTTAGCTCCAACCTTTTGTTCATTTCTTATTGCTGGAATTTCATATTCATTTCTTCTTGTTGGGTGACTAAACCAGAAGATGGTAGAGATGGTAAGGCTAAGTGGTGGACTCCGAATTCGACTCCTGTCTTTATGTCAGATTTAGTGCCCTTTCTACTATACTGCGGGACTGTCTTGAATTCTACTTTTATAACAAATACAATTCGATATAAACTTTAGTTTCACATGAGTCTTAGTGAGCACTCATATTAAGTCTGGGATGCAGAAACATCATTGTTAGAATGTTCCCTTATAGCCATATTTTCTGTTGCAATGAGTGAAAATAACCTTTGATACATAAGAGCATTTGTAGACTATTATTATTGTTATGTATTAATTTATATTTAAGCTGATAGTTTCTAGTTTAAACAGAAACACAGCAAAAAAAATCTATATTTAAAAAAATTACATGTGGCTTTCAGTTAAGATGGAAGAGTAAATAAACACTCTGCTTGCTTCCTCTAATGACTACATCAAAATTATAACTAAACTGCAGAATAGCAATCATTGGGAATCATCTGAAGTCTAGCTGAACAGAAGTCTTACAACTGAGGACACACAGAAGAGGCCACCTCGAGAATGGTAGGAGGGCCGGAGAGCGATCTGGGGTGGTTCTACACCCGCATGTGGTGGTTGAGAATTGGGAGAAATATCTCGGTTGTGGATGCCCCCTGGAAGAGTGAGGGATCCCAGCCCTAATCTGGGCTGCCCAGCCCAGAATTCCAGTGCTGAGAAGAGAAGTTTCCACAACTCTGGCTGTGAAAACAAGTGAGGTTGTGGCAGAGTGAGATGGAGGGCTGAGGGAGTCACAAACTTTCCTATTAAAGGGTCTGCACGTAGACACACTCAGTGATGGACTTACTTGCTCTGAGCTCCAGCTCTGGAGCAGTAGCTCAAAAAAGTGCCAGGGGCATATAAGGGAGGAACTGAATTTCTGGCTTCAGGGAAAAGGCTGGAGGGCCAGCTTTTCTCAGACAGAAGTGCTAGCTGAGAGCATTATTCCTTGGTTGAGCCCTTTTCTACCCGGCTTGCAGACCTAGGTGGGTGCCATCTCTGAGTCTCCATCAACGTAGCTAACAGCAATCACTCCACCCTGGTGATCCTCTGAGAGCCTGCTCCATCCAATGTGTGGGCCCACCCAAGTTGCTTCCAGTGTATTTTTCATACAAATGACCTGTCTTGGCACATGTGGACTTTCCTAAAATCTCTCAAAGGTTCATGAAACATAAACAAGCAGCATCTGGCCTTGGCATGCCCCATACCTCTTGCTGAGCAGCCCTAAGCCCAGCACTAGCGACAACTGGCCTCAGTTTGTGGCTTGACCTCTCCAGGCACTTCCAAGCCCAGTATGGATGGCAGCCATCTGTGGATTGCTTGGTGGCTTATGTCAGGTGTCCCTGGGCAGGGCACAGGCTATGACTGAACTTGGCCTGCAGCAATACCCCTCTCAAAAAGCCCCAGCCTGCACACCTGGTGGCTGGCTTTGGTCTGAGCAGAAACCCCACCGGGGTCACATCTGAGGGTGACACATCCAAAGGACAGACAGAGCAGGCACCGGAGCTCTGCTAAAATGAATCCTGGTCTGTAGAATCAGCCCCTGCACAACAGCTCTTCCACTGGTCAGTCATCACAACCAATCAGCATGAGGGTCAAACTTCTACTGACGAGCAAACAGCAAACAAGGCTCAAGTACAATCGGAGGGCACACACAACCCATACAAGAAACATACTTGGAGCACCCAGCTCAGGTGACCAGGGAAGACTTGAGACCCACAGCATACCTACTATATAAGGTTGCTCTACTAAGACTGAGAGACATAGCAGCCCTACCTAATACATAGAAACAAACACAAGTAGGCAGCCAAAATGGGGAGACAAAGAAACATGTCCCAAATGAAAGAATACAGCAAAGTTTCCAAAAAGAACTAAACAAAATGAAGACAAGCAAGCTACCAGATGCAGAGTTCAAAACACTGGTTTTAAAGATGCTCAATGAACTTAAGGGAAGAGGTGATGAATTCAATGAAAACTTCAACAAAGAAATAGAAGACATGATAGTGGAGATAGAAAACATAAAAAAGAACCAGTCAGAAATGAAGAAAACAATAACCGAAATGAAGAATACCTTAGGAAGAATGAACAGGAGATTAGATAAAGCAGAGGGTAGAATCAGTGATTTAGAAGATAAGGTAGCAGAAAACACCCAATCAGAATAGCAACAAGAAAAAAGAATCCAAAAAAATTAGGATAGTTTAAGGAGCCTCTGGGACAGCATCAAATTTACCAACATTTGTATCTTAGGGATACCAGAATCAGAGGGAGAGCAAGAAGCTGAAAACCTGTTTGAAGAAATAATGATGGAAAATTTTCCTAACCAGGTGAAGAAAGTAGATGTACAAGCCCAGGAAATACACAGAGTCCCAAACAAAAGAACCCAAATAGGCTGATATCATGACACCTCATAATTAAATGCCAAAAGGTTAAACATAAGGAGAGAAACTTAAAAGCAGCAAGAGAAAAGTAGTTAGTTACCTATAAAGGAGCTCCCACAGACTGTCAGCTGATTTCTCAACAGAAACTTTGCTGGCCAGCAGGGATTGGCACAAAATATTCAAAGTGATGAAAAGCAAGGACCTACAAGCAAGATCACTCTACCCAGCAAAGCTATCATTTAGAATCAAAGGAAAGATAAAAAACTTCCCAGATAAGAAAAAGCTAAAGGAGTTTGTCTTCACCACGCCATATTATAGGAAATGTTAGAGGATTTCTTTAAGAAGAAGAAAAAAGAAAAAAAAGATAAAACATATAAATAATAAAAAAGGCAATAACTACATATCTAGCAACAATTACTTTAAATGTAATTGATTCTAATGTTTCAATCAAAAGATAGGTGACCCCTCTTTCTGTGTTCAGCATAGCCATGGCTTGTGGTCCCAAGAAGCATCTGGAGTGCATAGCAGCTCCCAAGCCTTGGATGCTGGATAAACTGACAGGTGTATTTCCTCCTTGTTCGTCTACCAGTCCCCACAAGCTGAGAGGATATCTCCCTCTCATCATTTTCTCAAGAAACAGATTGAAGTATGCCAAGACAGGAGATGAAGTAAAGAAGATCTGTATTCAGCAGTTTATCAAGATTGATAGCAAAGTCTGGACTGATGTAACCTACCCTGCTGGATTTATGGATGTCATCAGCATTGACAAGACCAGAGAGAATTTGTGTCTTATCTATGACATCAGAGGTCACTTTCCTATTCATCAGATTACACCTGAGAAGGCCAAGTACAAGTTGTGCAAAATGAGAAAGACCTTTGTGAGCACAAAAGGAATCCCTCATTTGGTGATTCATGATGCTTGCACCATGTGCTATCCTGATCCCCTCATCAAAGTGAATGGTACCATTCGGATTGATTTGCAGACTGGCAAAATTACTGATTTTATTAAGTTTGACACTGGTAACCTGTGTATGGTGACTGTAGGTGATAACTTGGGAAGAATTGGTGTGATTACCAACAGAGAGAGTCACTCTGGCTCTTTTGATGTGGTTAATGTGAAAGACGCCAATGGCGACAGCTTTGCCACCCGGCTCTCCAATATTTGCATTATTGGCAAGGACAACAAACCGTGGCTTTCTCTTCCCGGTGCCTAACCATTGCCGAAGAGAGAGACAAGAACCTGGTAGCCAGACAGAGCAGTGGGTGAAGTGATCTCTAGGTGACATGATTGAAAAATTCTTTGTGCCTAATTAAAGGTAAATATTGCATGATTAATTATAAAAAAAAGATAAGGTGGCCGAATGCATAAGAAAACAAAACCCTTACGTATGCAGCCTACAAGAGACTCACTTCAGATCAAACAACACATACAGACTGAAAGTAAAGGGATGAAAAAAAATGTTTCATGAAAACAGAAACAAGCAAACGAAAAAGCTAGGGTAGCAATATTTATACCAGACAAAATAGACTTTAAAATAAAGGCTATAACAAGAGACAAAGAAGGACCCAGTTATCCCACTTCTGTGTATTTATCTGAAGAAACCCAAAACACTACTTTTAAGGTAATATGAGTCCATATGTTCATTGCAGCATTATTTATAGTAGCTCAGATATGGAGACATCTTGAGTGTATGGGTAAAGAGGACGTGGTATACACACACACACACACACACACACACACACACACACAGGCAAAATGAAATATTACTCAGCCACAAAAAAGAATGAAATCCCACCATCAGCAACAACATGGATGGACCTAGAGAATATTATGCTGAGTGGACTAAGACAGAGAAAGATAAATTTTCTATGTGCAATCTAGAGAACAGGATAAACAAACAGGAGAAACAAGCTCATATATACAGAGAGCATTTTGATGGTTGTCAGATGGGGTGTGGGAGGACGAATGAAGTGGGGAGAGGATTGAGAGGTACAAATGATAGTTTCAAAATAGTCATGGGGATGTAGAGTATAGCATGGAGAACATAGTAGTGTTATAATAACTGTATGGTTTCAGATAGGTACTGGATTTATCGAGGTGATCACTTCATGTAATGTAAACATATAATATACATATATGTAAACATATAATCACTGTGTTGTACACTTGAAACTAATATAATATTGTATGTCAACTTTAATTGAAAAAATATATAAAAATACAAAAAATTATTTTCTTTTTATAGAATCACAAGAAAACTTACAAGGCTATTGTCTGGAAACTTGAGAGCAATAATCACTTTGTATTTTCTTTCCATGGCTTCTAAGAGCCTAAGAGAATTTAGAACACATAGTAGACAATTGATACTAAAAAGGCAAATGATCAACTCCAAGTTAATATAAAGTAGTAGCCATGGGAAGAATATATTAATTTAAAAAACTATAGTATGGTCAAAGGGGCCAACTTCAGAATAGTTTGCGTCACAGCTCCAGGCCTTGCAAGGCAAGCTGGGCCTCTGTTCACCCAGGGCTTCCTCAGAATACTGCTTCTCTTCTGGTTTAAAAGATGTGTGGTTTGGAATAGTCAGCGGGAACTAAAAAGCTAAGCAATATGGTCAATGCATTGAACGAAAGAAGATTCTAGATCACTATTAGATGCTTGTCATCTGGAGCAAAGTGTGAGATGTGAAGGCTTCTATTGCTTTTAAGGGGAGACAAATGTAATGGCTAATAAAGGATTCTGGACTGTGTGGGTCAGAAGATTGGTTGAGTTTGGTTAGTATATAATAATACAGAACAAAGATCATAAATAGGCTCTGAGCAATCAGAGCACAAATAATTATACTTGGAAAGTTTGTTTAGTCAGCTGCAGAATGTGCTGTTTTCTATTCTGGTCATCCTCCCTACCCATGATACAGCAAAATCTTGTATGAAGAGGAATGTAAATGTTCCCCAATGCATAGGTAGTTTTTTACTGTTTTAAAAGAGTCAGTATGGATCACTTAGCAGGTGACAAATATTTAATTTAGACAAAATAGAGGAAATAGCAGTAGCTTCTCCACACACTTGTTGCCTGTACCTGTTAGGAATAAGATTAGCTATTAGTGACAGAAAACTCAAATTAACAGTGCCTCAAACACAAAATGTTGGAAACAGTTTGGAAGCCTGGGCCTGGTGTGGCTATTCCACTGAGTCCCTAAAGACCTAGGTTCCTTCCAGTTTTCTATGCTGCCACTCTTAAGAGGTGCATATTACACTCATACTTGAACCCCATTGACCAGAATTTATTCACTTGGCCACATTAGACATAAGAACCTAGAAAATGTAGTCCTAATTCAAGGCAGCAGGGACCTGACAAAAAACTGGAAGTTCTGCCATAAGAAATAAGTGAGAATCTATATTAGAAGTCTGACATGAGTTTCTGTCACACTGTTCTTGGGACTTGATTGCATACCTGTATGTGGGACTTGGAGGATCCCATATGAAACACTTGGAAGGTAGATTTTAGTAATTTAGACTATGCTCTACAGAGTCCCCAAACTGTGGATGACTGGCCAGTGAGTTGGGTCATGGCCTTTGTTGTTCTATGCACTGACCTAGGCTGAATGAGAGTAATCAATCTGGTAAAAGAGAGAGAGAGAAAGAGAGAGAGAGAGAGAGAGAGAGAGAGAGAGAGAGAGAAAGGACAGAACTGCAGGGAGACAACATTTGAAGAGGCAGTCTACTGTGGTGAACAAACAAGGACTTTGGAGTCCCTCTAAACTTGGATTTAAATCCCAGGGCCATTGTGTAATATTGGGCAAGTTACTTGACCTCTAGAAGCTTCCATGTCCTCATCAGTACAATGGGAGGACTAATATTCACCTAAGAGTTTTAGCAGTATTGGGTCAGGTGATGTGTATAAAAATGCTTAGTCAAGCACATGGCAACATGTAGGTGTTCTGGCAATGGTATCTATTTTTACCATTGGCAACTTGGAAGCAAAGATAGGGGTAGTACATCTGTACACTCTTTGAAACCTTCTGGTCAAGGGGCCACCTTGGGAGTGTTCACAGCAGCACCTGTTATTGGTCCATTCTGTCACTCTAGGTGCTCATAATGGAAAAGTTGCTGCACCGCTGTCCTTCTTGGCTCCCCCTCACATCAAAGTTAACAATCCCTTAAGTATGTATTTTTAAAATATCCAACCAAGTCTTGTTTTGTCCACTGCAGTAGTCCTACTCTGTATTTTCATAATTTCTCTTGGAATTATTGCAATAGACTCAGAATGCTGACCACTTCTCCAGGCCACCTGCCAAATTACCACTAGCACAAGCAACTTTCTGAATCAGAAGCCATATACTCAGCCATCCTTGCATAACTCCTCATCATTTCCAGGACAAGACCCAAATTCCTCTGCTGGCTCTCTATAATCTGTGACCTGAGGTACATGTTCAGCCTTCCTTCTTGGCTCCTCACCCTAACTCAACCCCTGTTTTAGAGAAATCAAACATTTATCGAACATGCTAAGCTCTCTCTTCTTGGTGCCGCTGAGCAGGCCCTTCCTGCAGCCTGGAAAGCCTTTCCTCTGTTGGGTGACTCCTAGTCCATATTCAAGCACTTCTCCCTAGAGAACTCCTTTGGGTTCAGTACAGCTTAGATGCGGGCTCCTCCACAATCCACAGTGCCTAAGGCAAACTCTGTTATAGCTATTGATGTCATTTGCATGTCTATCACATCTCTCCTCTATGAATTCATTCACTCATTCACTCATTCATTTATTCACTCATTCATTCATCTATCCATTCAACTAATTTTGGATAAATTTCCTTCTTTGTATCAGCTTTTTCTTCTTTGTGTACAACTCAGATATTTCCTCCATTGGAAAACTTCTCCTGATTTGGATTCAGTGTTGCTCCTCTGTGCTCCTGTAGGAACTGTACTTGCATTATGTACTTATTATATGGTACTGTCAGATATGTGTCTGTTTTCCTTACTAGAGAGTGACTTCTTTAAAGATAAACTGGAGTACTTTGTGTTTTTGTGAGAATGTATGTGTATGTGTGTATATACATGTGTGTGTGTGACTTCTCAGTGCCTAGCACAAGTGCTGACCAACAAAACATTATTGAATGAATGAGTGAATGAATGAAATGTGTAGTTATGGGAGCTGGTCTACTCAAAATAGCCTAGAAGATCCCTAAAGAGTGATTCACTTTGCATTTTTATGACCAGAAATACAAAGTCATTTGGGGACATTGTTAAGGGCATAACATATTATATGGTTGCCAAAGAGTTCTAAGAGAAGAAGGTTCTTACAACTATACAGGAACTATATTTAGCAAGTCTGTTGATCTGTTATTGAAGGATCTTGTTTCTTTGTGGTAACAAAACTATTCAGTGCAATATCTGTCTTGTGTTAAGAACAACCGTCATGATTAAAAGGAATAACCTTCATGCTTTTAGAGAATGTGCTAAACTAGTTCTATCAAAATACAACCAGTGGGTGCTGGTGATTATATTTAGAGTTGAATGTGAGGGACAAAAAAAGGAGAGAGGGAATCTTCTTCAAATTAATTATTGAAGTAAATTCCTGGAAGGCATAAACTGGAGGCTTATTTTGCTGAGCAGACCTCACAGTTAAGTGAACAAGGGTTGTTTCTGAAGCACTGTGAGGTTCAATTAGTCACAGCAAGAAGAGGCCCCTCTATGGGGGTGATATTTGGCTTGGACTTGTTGACAACACATCTAATGGGCTGACAAGGAAGGCTGGCTTCAAATCAGGGCAGTGGGGACTTCTTAGGATGAAGATCTAAACTGATTACTTAAATACTTCCATAAAACATGAAATAGGATCATGGCATGTAGTTATGAGGAGTAGCCGACCAGAAAGCTTAGGGTCCCAACTGTGGGTGAAGGGGGCTTGTGAACTGTACAAGGAAGCATTTTAAGGAAGTTTTCCAGACATGTGGTGAGGTAGAAGCTATCTGAACAAAAGGACTGGGTTAATATTTTAGGATTAACTCTTCAGCGGTACATTGTGGTGCTTCACAGCCTGGGCTCAAATTATGCAGATCAAGGTTCAAATATCAGGTCTGCCACTTACAGCCTGGGTGACCTTGGGCACACTAATCTAATGTCTCTAAACTTGAGTTTCCTAATCTTCAAACTTAATGTAACAATAGTAGTGATCTCAGAGGATTATGGTGAGGAGTAAATGAGATGGTGCCCATGA